TAAATAGTACCGTTCCATTTAACTTTTTTTCAAAAATCACAAAAATATGTAACCGCTGCAGATAACGCCCTCTAGCTTATTTGTTTTAAACCAAGCGGTCTTACTGAAAATATCTTTTAAAAGAGCATGAAATGCTCTTTCAAACAAGACCAAAAATATTCAAATCGGTTGAATGGTCCAGGAGATATTAAAATGTAAACATTTGAAAACGCGTTGGCCTCCCCCTCCCTTATTATGACAGATATGAGAAATATTGCAAAACAAAAGCGATGCGGTATTATCCAAGCTATTAAATGATGTTGTCAAAGTTATAGCTCATCGTCTAACCTTCTGAGATAGCGGGAATTTTATGTTTCTCTATGGCAGTTACGCCCCCTAGCGATCAAATTACGAACTTCAACATAATTTTCAGCTATTTCTCTTGCCCACTTTGCCTATAAGGATTTTTTTTCCCAAACCTCTAGGCCTTACCGTTGTTGAGATACAGCCGCTCCGTACCCTTAAGGGGACACCTGTACATGGAAATCAGCGTCAGCGGATCATAATTCAATGATAGTTAAACTAGAAGCCTGATTAAAGAAACAGGCAGTCGACAGAATGACGCAATTGAAGTATCCGGAAATAAAGCAATATATACCAGAAAGAATAAACGACGAATTAAGTAGAATTACTTTAGACTGAAATAGGAGTACAGACCGAAAATGGGAGGCAATTAAAATTGCAATAATTGATCCGATAAGAAAATTGTTGGAGACAGGCGAGAAGGAAGAAAAGGAAAAGAAGAAATTTTGCAACTGATGGAGAAGGATACAAAAAAACAGAGATAAGCGTATATAAGAATATACAGGGTGTGTCAAATGTCGGGAATATAGCCAATAACTTTGCCATATGTGGTTTTAAAGAAAAATGTTTCAAATACAAGTTTCTTTATTAATCATGGCGCATTTTTCGGCGATACTTGTTTGTATTGTTTTTTGTTTCGTTGCTATGGTAACCAACATTGTTATTTTAAATAGGATGCATAATATGTTTTTGTTGCATACTTTGGTAGAGGATAAGCCCCTCTATGCACATATCAAATCATATGGTTCCATAAGAAAAAGATCGAGAAAAAAATTCGTTTTTTGAAAGTCTTAAATGTCTAAAAAATTGCAGTTTCAACAATTATGAACTGAATTTGTTTAAACTGTTAATTTTTTGACATTTAAAGCTGTCAACGGTGTTATTTCTGTGCCTACTTTGATTGTAATTTGCCGATTTCATATTTTCAAAGAACGCATTTTTTCTCGATTATTTTCTAATACAACCATATGATTTGGTATGTTCATCGCGTAGAGGGATTTACCCTCTATTAAAATGTGCAAAAAAAACATATGCATCCCATTTAAAATAACAATGATGGTTGCCATAGCAACGAAACAAAAAACAATACAAACAAGCAAATATCGCCAAAAAATGTGCCACAATTAATAAAGTATTTTTTATTTGAAACATTTTTCTTTAAAACCACAAATGGCGAAGTTATTGGCTATATTCCACACATTTGACACACCCCCTGTACAGAGAGAAATTTAGTAAGTTTTAGTAAGTTAATGGAACTAGAAGAATTGCAAACGAGGCGTGATGACTTGAATCTAGAAAAAAAGATTAAAGCGCTATTTTTCTAGATAAAGATAATCCTAGACACAAAGGGGAAATTAGAAAGATGGAAAGAATACCTCCAGGCACTATTTGAAGATAAGAAGCAACAGGAACTTGGCGAAAAAACGACAGCGATCACGGACCAAAGATAATAAAGAAATAAGCTTCAAGCTTTAAGCCCTGCCGAGGTCCCAACTGAAATTATTACACCACTGGTAATTATCCTTAAGGAATTGCTGAAGGAATCCCTAACGAGTCACATATCGCAAAATCTTTAGGAAGATTTTAGCAAGATCGCAATTTATTCTATTGCTAACCCATGCGTGACGTCATCAACGGACTGTCGAGTTCTGTTGCACAGACATATTAATTAATAGCCATTTCACTCTAACACACATCGTGTACGTTTCGCATTTCTTATGGTAACGATACATAAAAAAATTACTTACCTCTGGTAAACTTTTAGGCGATTGAATATGTAACCCAGCTCCAATATTAACAACAGCAGGTACATTCGGTCTTATTCCACTTAAAATCGGATGAACATTAACAAACAACATATCCAAATATTGAATAAAATCCTTACACGATGGATAATCATCACCGAAATTTTCCCGAATAACTTTATCATTAATCGGTATAATAAACAAAAATCCATAGACTCTCATTACATTAGAAATAACAACACTAAACACTCTCTCAAAAAAGCTTAATTTTCCAGCTAAAGGTAACATAAAATCCGGATTTAATATAGGATGTGTCGGATTTACGACGCTATCATAAGCTGCTGATTGAGCATCCATTGATACAACTCCTATAGAAGCGGCTTTGAATCGATGGGCGAAAGCAAACATGCATGGTTGCAAAATTTCAACTAAAATAACGTCGAAATGTTCGTTTGGGTCGTTAATTAATCTTTTTACTTTGGGATGTTTGAGTTGTTCATCACAAATATCAGCGTTCATAGTTATTATAGCATTAACCATTTCAAGCGGTTTTCCAGCTAATTTATCGATTTTATCAGAAAAATTATGTTTGTTGTTGTAGAGGTCGTACGAAAAACTAAGATCTATTTCGGTTAAATTCTTTAAGGACGTATCATTGATTGGATCGGTCGTTAAAACCGTTACTTTGTGTCCTCTTTGAGATAATTCCTTCCAAATTGGTCTGTAAACGATTTGATGGCTTATTGAAGGTGTTGGGATTATTCCTAAGATTCGTGCACTGTTAATTTCACTTAAATAACATAAAATTAGTAATAAAAGATTGTGGAAGTATATCATTTTTTTTAGTAATCTAAAAAAGAATTTGTTTTGTGAACAGCTGCGAGATAACTAACAAAAAATACTTATCTTTCATTATATATTTGCTATTGACCTTTTTAAATAGATATAAATGTTATGTAATGTAAAAAATTAGAAATCAAGGTTAATTTTTTTTTAGGTTATGTTTGGGTGAGAATAAAATATAAAAATTAATTAAATACACATCGAATTAGAGAAAAAATAACTTTATTCAGCTATCGACCGTTATAGGGTCTTTCCGCTTACATTAATTATAAAATAACAATATATTTATGTTGAGTTCTTCGTATAATGTTTTAGGTCTTTCTTCGTTCGTTCGAGTCTTGCACATCTGATGTAGGGTGTCTTGCTCGGCATTTTTGGAGAATTTTTCTTTCAAACCAAAGATCACAAATCAAAGATTGTTGAAAATAAATAATGCGTGTATATTACGGTAGATAATTAAAAAACGCGTAAAATGAGTCCAAACTCGACCTATCTATGTGTTATAACACCCGAGATATCTTTGTTTTAAAAAATCAAGATGGATGAAAACAAAACACTAATTATGTCATTTATGCTTTTAGAAGTGAATTTTATGATGGATATAAAGTGTGATATATCAAATTAGTTAAGAATTTTCTGATCTCTACAAAAATCGTATTATTTTTTATGTTTTTTAAATTTTATAGAATCCAAGATGGTCGAAAATAAATAATGCGTGTATATTACAATAGATAATTAAAAAACGCGTAAAATGAGTCCAAACTCGACCTATCTATGTGTTATAACACCCGAGATATCTTTGTTTTTAAAAATCAAGATGGACGAAAACAAAACACTAATTAATCATGTCTTTTATAGTTTTAGAAGTGAATTTTATGATAGATATAAAGTGTGATATATCAAATTACTTTAGAATTTTCTGATCTTTACAAAAATCGTACTATTTGTTATGTTTTTTAAATTTTATAGAATCTAAGATGGTCGAAAATAAATAATGCGTGTATATTACGATAGATAATTAAAGAACGCGTAAAATGAGTCCAAACTCGACCTATCTATGTGTTATAACACCCGAGATATCTTTGTTTTAAAAAATCAAGATGGACGAAAACAAAACACTAATTAATTATGTCATTTATAGTTTTAAAAGTGAATTTGATGGTAGATATAGAGCGTGATATATCAAATTGGGTTAGAATTTTCCGATCTCTACAAAAATCGTATTATTTTTTATGTTGTTTAAATTTTATAGAATCCAAGATGGTCGAAAATAAATAATGCGTGTATATTACGATAGATAATTAAAAAACGCGTAAAATGAGTCCAAAATCGACCTAGCTATGTGTTATAACACCCGAGATATCTTTGTTTTAAAATATCAAGATGGCCAAAAACAAAACACTAATTGAATATGTCATTTATAGTTTTAAAAGTGAATTTGATGGTAGATATAGAGTGTGATTTGTCAAATTAGGTTAGAATTTTCCGATCTCTACAAAAATCGTATTATTTTTTATGTTGTTTAAATTTAATAAAATGTAAGATGGTCGAAAATAAATAATGCGTGTATATTACGGTAGATAATTAAAAAACGCGTAAAATGAGTCCAAACTCGACCTATCTATGTGTTATAACACCCGAGATATCTTTGTTTTAAAAAATCAAGATGGACGAAAACAAAACACTAATTAATTCATTTATGCTTTTAGAAGTGAATTTTATGATGGATATAAAGTGTGATATATCAAATTAGTTAAGAATTTTCTGATCTCTACAAAAATCGTATTATTTTTTATGTTTTTTAAATTTTATAGAATCCAAGATGGTCGAAAATAAATAATGCGTGTATATTACAATAGATAATTAAAAAACGCGTAAAATAAGTCCAAACTCGACCTATCTATGTGTTATAACACCCGAGATATCTTTGTTTTAAAAAATCAAGATGGACGAAAACAAAACACTAATTAATTATGTCATTTATAGTTTTAGAAGTGAATTTGATGGTAGATATAGAGCGTGATATATCAAATTAGGTTAGAATTTTCCGATCTCTACAAAAATCGTATTATTTTTTATGTTGTTTAAATTTTATAGAATCCAAGATGGTCGAAAATAAATAATGCGTGTATATTACGATAGATAATTAAAAAACGCGTAAAATGAGTCCAAACTCGACCTATCTATGTGTTATAACACCCGAGATATCTTTGTTTTAAAAAATCAAGATGGACGAAAACAAAACACTAATTGATTATGTCATTTATAGTTTTAAAAATGAATTTGATGGTAGATATAGAGTGTGATATGTCAAATTGGGCTAGAATTTTCCGATCTCTACAAAAATCGTCTTATTTGTTATGTTTTTTAAAATTTATAGAATCTAAGATGGTGGAAAATAAATAATGCGTGTATATTACGATAGATAATTAAAAAAATGCGTAAAATGAGTCCAAACTCGACTTATCTATGTGTTATAACACCCGAGATATCTTTGTTTTAAAAAATCAAGATGGCCGAAAACAAAACACTAATTGATTATGTCATTTTATAGTTTTAAAAGTGAATTTGATGGTAGATATAGAGCGTGATATATCAAATTGGGCTAGAATTTTCCGATCTCTACAAAAATCGTATTATTTTTTATGTTGTTTAAATTTTATAAAATCCAAGATGGTCGAAAATAAATAATGCGTGTATATTACGATAGATAATTAAAAAACGCGTAAAATGAGTCCAAACTCGACCTAGCTATGTGTTATAGCACCCGAGATATCTTTGTTTTAAAAAATCAAGATGGACGAAAACAAAACACTAATTAATTATGTCATTTATAGTTTTAAAAGTGAATTTGATGGTAGATATAGAGCGTGATATATCAAATTAGTTATGAATTTTTTGATCTTTACAAAAATCGTATTATTTTTTATGTTGTTTAAATTTTATAAAATCAAAGATTGCTGAAAATAAATAATGCGCGTGTATTACAATAGATAATTGAAAATCGCATAAAATGAGTCTAAACTCGACCTATCTATGTGTTATAACATCCGAGATATCTTTGTTTTAAAAAATCAAGATGGACGAAAACAAAACACTAATTGATTATGTCATTTATAGTTTTAAAAGTGAATTTGATGGTAGATATAGAGCGTGATATATCAAATTGGGTTAGAATTTTCCGATCTTTACAAAAATTGTATTATTTTTTATGTTGTTTAAATTTTATAACCGCGCCCGCTCGAAGGTGAAATAATTAACGTCTTAAAACTTAGAACTTTTTAATAAAACACATCCATATTGGGTCAATTCCAATATAAAACATCGAATAATTTATTAATCATTTTCTTTTTTACAACTTTCATCATTTAAATTTGCTTCATTAGATGAATATGCAAGTAAATTAAATTTTTTCATATCCACATAATTATGCACAATAGCTAACAACGCAACATTTTTAATTATTTCAATAACAATACTAACATCAGGATTATTTAAATTAACAGGATGTTTCCCAGGAATTTCTTCTATCAAATCGGCTACACTTTTAATAACCGTATCTCTCTCTAAATGGTTATTATTTCTATGATTATAAACTATGGAAAATGATTTATCATTATCTTTAAAATGATTTCCCAATATTGATTCCTTAAGAACATTCTTAATATCATCAATGTAAGCTTTACAAGTAACTTGAATCGGAATTAACCTATACAAAAACCTAGTTTGAGGTGATTTACTATTTTTTAATTCGTTCATGATTAAAGTAGCTAACGTTACGGGATCTTCAATTGTGGTACGGACAAATAAAACGTTTTTTGCGCCTGATTTAACAACTTGAAATCGTTTTTTCTTCACATTCTTAGCTTTTAGTTCTTTTAATTCCTTTTCTAAATCATCTTCTATGTTACTTTCAGATTGTTCCGGGTTTAAATCACACTCTAACGTTTCAGGACCATATAATTCATCTGCATATTTATTTAAAACGTTGTAAGCTTCTCTAATACATTCTTTTTCACGGTTATTAAACGTACAAAGAAATCCTTTCATTCCCGGTTCTAAATTACTCCCTGATTTTGAAGAATAATTATTTGATGTGTATTTGGCACGTTTAGAATGTTTATACATTTTTTTAGACATGAAATTAAAAATGAGTAAAGTTATTGATGGTGAACCAAAAAGATTTTGAGGTTAATCGATAAACGTTACCAACATAAATTTTTTTTAGCTCAAATTTCTCTAGATTTAAAATTATTAAATTTGTTTAAAATTTAATTTTTATTTATTTTGAATATTATAATTAATTATTTAATTAATTGTTATTAAAATGTAATTTTCGCACGTAAAATATCGAAAAAGATAGGAAATTGATACATATTTTTTTCAATTTTTATAAATTGGTACTGATCAGTGTTGCCAAACGGACGATAATTATCGTACATGTACAATTATTTCAATTTCTATACAATAATACATTGATACTCATTATCCTACCATAATTTTCAACACAACTTTATTTTTTGTATGAAATTTGTACAACTTTATAAATAGATTATTTTTTGCGAGCTATACTAAAGCTAGGTGTCCACTTGAGAGAAACTTCTGAGAGTAACTCTCGATATCTACTCTCAACTGTGTGTCCACTTGAGACTGTTTTAGCTCTCCGAGAGCTTCTATAAAACTTCAGAGAGCTTTTTCTCAGACAATTCTCTCAGGACCGTGTGAAATGTGTGCTATGGAAAATAAAATTTATTCAATTGCTGAAAGAGACTAGATATTGCTGGCAGAAGACTTCACAGTACTACCAGAAGACGAAATACTGTTGGTAGAATAAGACTAGATATTGCTGCAAAAGACTAAATATTGCTGGCAGAAGACTAGATATTGCTAGTGAAAGACTAGAGATTACAAATGAAGCACATCCTTCTTACAGAAGACTACATTCGCGATTTCTATATTCTTTAGATTTGGCATTCCAAAGAACTGAATTTTCTTCATATACTTCAGTTAATTCAATATTTCTTCTTGGGACTATTTTCTTTTAGCCGTCATTTTTAAACGTGTTATATTAAGAAAACTCGCAGCAAAATTCGAACCGTGTTCATTTTTTGACAGTTACTCTCACGATAGATAAATTGTACGTGTCCACTTGAGTACATGTCTCAACTTGTCCACTCTCCGAAAGTTGGTGGAGACTCTCTGATAGTTACTCTCAGATGCGTGTGCACTAGAAAACATAATCTCGATAGCTTCTCTATTGCTAGCAGAAGACTAAGTATTACTAATGAAAGACTATCTAGTTGCAAATGAAGCAGATTCTTCTTATAGCAGACTTCGCACTACTACCAGAAGACGAAATACTGTTAGTAGAAGATTAGATATCGCTGTAAAAGACTAGATATTGCTGGCAGAAGACTAAGTATTACTAATGAAAGACTAGATGTTGCAAATGAAGCAGATTCTTCTTACAGAGGACTTCACACTACTACCAGAAGACGAAATACTGTTAGTAGAAGATTAGATATCACTGCAAAAGACTAGATTTTGCCGGTAGAAGACTAACTATTACTAATGAAAGACTAGATGTTGCAAATGAAGCAGATTCTTCTTACAGAAGACTTCACACTACTACCAGAAGACGAAATACTGTTGGTAGAAGACTAGATATTGCTGCAAAAGACTAGATTTTGCCGCTAGAAGACTAAGTATTACTAATGAAAGACTAGATGTTGCAAATGAAGCAGATTCTTCTTACAGAAGACTTCACACTACTACCAGAAGACGAAATACTGTTGGTAGAATAAGACTAGATATTGCTGCAAAAGACTAAATATTGCTGGCAGAAGACTAGATATTGCTAGTGAAAGACTAGAGATTACAAATGAAGCACATCCTTCTTACAGAAGACTATAGAGCCAGAGATTTGGCATTCCAAAGAACTGAATTTGCTTCATATAATTCAATATTTCTTCTTGGGACTATTTTCTTTTAGCTGTCATCTTTAAACGTATTATATTAAGAAAACTCGCAGTAAAATTCGAACCGTGTTCATTTTTTGACAGTTACTCTCACGATAGATAAATTGTACGTGTCCACTTGAGTACATGTCTCAACTTGTCCACTCTCCGAAAGTTGGTGGAGACTCTCTGATAGTTACTCTCAGATGCGTGCCCACTAGAAAAAATAATCTCGATAGCTTCTCTATTGCTGGCAGAAGACTAAGTATTACTCATGAAAGACTATCTAGTTGCAAATGAAGCAGATTCTTCTTACAGCAGACTACGCACTACTACCAGAAGACGAAATACTGTTAGTAGAAGATTAGATATCACTGCAAAAGACTAGATATTGCTGGCAGAAGACTAAGTATTACTAATGAAAGACTAGATGTTGCAAATGAAGCAGATTCTTCTTACAGAAGACTTCGCACTACTACCAGAAGACGAAATACTGTTGGTAGAAGACTAGATATTGCTGCAAAAGACTAGATTTTGCCGGTAGAAGACTAAGTATTACTAATGAAAGACTAGATGTTGCAAATGAAGCATATTCTTCTTACAGAAGACTTCACACTACTACCAGAAGACGAAATACTGTTGGTAGAAGACTAGATATTGCTGCAAAAAACTAGATATTGCTGGCAGAAGACTAAGTACTACTAATGAAAGATTAGATATTGCAAATGAAGCAGATTCTTCTTCCAGAAGACTTCACACTACTACCAGAAGACGAAATACTATTGGTAGAAGACTAGATATTGCTGCAAAAGACTAGATTTTGCCGGTAGAAGACTAAGTATTACTAATGAAAAACTAGATGTTGCAAATGAAGCACATCCTTCTTACAGAAGACTACACTCGCTTCCCGATTTCTATGTTCTTTAGATTTGGTATTCCAAAGAACTGAATTTTCTTCATAAACTTCAATTAATTCAAATCAAATATTTTGTTCTTGGGACCATTTTCTTTTAGCCATCAACTTTAAACGTGTTATATTGAGAAAACTCGCAGCAAAATTTGAACCGTTTTTGGTTTTTTTGACAGTTACTCTCACGATAGATAAACTGTGCGTGTGCACTTGAGTACAAGTCTCAACTTGTTTACTCTCCAAAAGTTGGTGGAGACTCTCTTATAGTTACTCTCAGATGCGTGTCCACCAGAAAAAATACTCTCAATAGCTTTTCTCGAGAGCATTTCTTGCAAATGGACACCTAGCTTAATGCCTGCTTGGGATCAATGCCTTAGACTTAGACCTTCTACGTATTACTTCGAAAGAAAGAAAAAAATAGTTCTAGGTATAGTGTTAGTTCTAGTTTTACACATGCAGTGTCACTAGAACTAACATTAGACTTAGAAACATTTGAGTTTAGCCGTACGTCTCTTAAGAAGGATTTTCACACCAAGAAATTCTACAATAGAAAAAATAGATGAACCTACAATTTCGTGCCAGTCTCGTTTTCTGGATGTTAGTATAAAATTAAAAGTTTGTCTTTTATTTTATATAGAATTTAAGTCTAACTAGTTTCGGTCCTTGGCCATCTTCAGAGACTCAACAAATAGATTAACTAAATTAAAACTAGAACGAGAACTAGAAATATTCGGGTTTAGTCGTGAAAAAAACTTTCAGTTGTCAATTTTATTATTACATTCGTAATCTTCATAAAATAACCTTTAAAGTGAGTCCAAACTTGACGCATTTATCTCAAAAAACCAAAAAGTTCGAACTTTCAACTTTTAATTTTGACATATTTGTCAACTTCATAAAAAATCCTTTAAAATGAGTCCAAACTCGACATATTTAACTTTAATATTAATGGAAATACAATCACTTCCGGTTTGAAACGTCAACGTCAATTTTGACATATTTGTCATCTTCATTAAAAAACCTTTAAAATGAGTCCAAAGATGA